CAACTTTTATTTCTTTAACGAAATTGATATTATTGAATTGACTCGAAGTAGCAGAACACAAATAACACCGCATTGTTGATTTCGTCAATGTTATTGCATTGCAAACTTTTCCGTCGATCATTGTCATAACCAATTTATAATTTATTTTAATTTCTATTTTATGTTGAACAATGATGAGAGGAACCAGTGATTTAATTTTATCTTCAATATGGTCTTTTTCATTAATGCTTGTATGGACATTTTCGTGAAGAAATTGCAGTCTGATAGGTCGGCAAAATCGAGTAGATGAGGGTGTCCTATTTTTCCATAGAATAACATCTTGACCTAAAACTGAATTTGTATACAAAGTTGTAATGGTACAAGTGAAGTCAGAAAAACATTTGCATCTGAGTTTCTTCCATTGGCAAATCTCTGTTTATATTCGCTATGACAGGAACTGCCATCAAACCCCCATTTAAGAATTAAAATAAATTTTGATAAAATATTTACATTCAAATACATCTTGTTGAGTTTTTATAATTCGTAAACAAGTGTGATTAAATAATTTTAATTTCAAAAATTTCAATTCGAGGAATTTGCAAATGATCTTTTTGTGAACCTTAGATATTAATTGAAAATATAATAATTGAAAAAATCATAAAAACATTATAACTTTACTAAACTAATTAAAAATAAAATAAAAAGTAATCGATAATATATGATATTATATAAATTCGATATATAAGAGAAAGGTAAAATATACTGCTAATCATGTGATTGATATAGTTATTATGATAGATATAGTTATTATGTTTTTTGAGAAACTGATTTTGTAAAATTCAATAAAACTATACAAAAATCGTCGTAGCTGAGGTAAAAAAGACGTCGTAACCGAGGGGTTTGTCCCCCCCCCCCACCCTACACTCTAACTTTGTCAAAATCTCATTCATGTGTGCTACTAATTTTATTGTAGTTTTATTGCACTTAACAAAATCAGTTTCTCAAGAAACATAATAACTATATCTATATACAATTTGACTGATTTTGTAAAGAAAACACCGCCATTTTGTTTACTAAAAAGCACGACTAGCACTACACAATATAAGTTAATGAAGTAATAGGCAAAAATAGGTGCCTTTTCTTTTAACCAAACTTTAGAATACATTTTTATGAACAACATCCAAATTATAACTAAGCGGAATCTCGCGGGTTCACTACTTTTTCAATGCTTGAAAAATAGGTTAAAGAAAATAAATAAACTTTATTCTGTACTTTTTTGTTCGCACTTTTCGCATAAAATTTAGAGAAATAATATAAAACTTTTTACTAAAATATTATATAAATACCTTGAATATTATCGTCCATAGTTAGTTTTTTAGTAACAATAAATAACTTTTTTGTAAACGATACTTATTTAACCACATTTTTTTTTGTTTTTAAAACGCCAATTAAGTGTTTTTAATAGCAGATGTTTAACTGCGTAGATATAGGTAACTTTAAAATTTATACAATTTTTTCTTATACAATAAAATGCAACAGGGCTTTGTTTATGTAGTTTCAAAATAATAAATTCAAAATAGTGATTTTTTTTTTTGACTTTTGGACAGCATTTTTGAAAATTAGCCCACTGTGCGCCACTGGAAAGCACTTATAGTTATAAGTTATACAGTCATTCAGGGTAACTTTGAACGCTTTGCGCTCGGTTAATCTCAACAATTTTTTTTACAAACTAGTTAACAAATATTTTTACATAAAAGGTGTTCTGATGATCTCTTTTTTTCTAGTTTGTTATCATTTTTTTAAATTTGCTAGTTATTTTGTTAAAAAACAAAGTTCAAGTAGGGATTCAAAGTTACACTTGCATTTAGGGTAACTTTGAACACTATTAAATTAAATGTCAATTTTAATCAGTTAAATCTAAAAAGTTGTTTAAATTTCGTTGTATTACCTCAAATTAATTTTATAAAAAATCTAATTAAACTATATTGAGAATAAACAAACAAGTTTTTCAATAAAATATTACAAATCACTAAATGAACTTGTTGATCAATTTTTAAGGTTATGAAAGAAAAAATAATTAAGACATCATTTCTATATAATTCTACACAAATAAACACATATGACTATAAAACTAAATATTACAGTGTTTAATTTAAGTATTTTAGTCTTGAGTCACAACTTACTCTTTAATCGAATAATCATGATCATGGAAAACAGGTATATTGTAATTGTTTATTTGCTCTAATGAAGAAACTGCATCATGTGATACAACTTGCTCATTGTCTTTAATAACTTGATTAACATCTACAATGCTTGAACTTTGTGAAACATTTTTGTTTATTTTCATAATTATATTTTTTGATCTAAGTGGTCTTCCTCTTTTATTTGTTCGAACATTATCTTGATTTTTTTTCTTATTGTCTCTTAACTTATAGTATGCTTCTACCTCAGTGGTTGATACACTTTTCCCTGCTGTTATTGGTAACTTAAATTTTTTGCTTGCTTCATAATTAATATTAGATGTATGAATTTCATCAACATATTTCCTAAACGATTCTCCAATGTTGAGATGAATATCTATATTTGTAAAACTGGGTAATTTCGAGAGAACATGTTCAGGGTCAAATGGATATATGCCAGTAGCCTTAAATCCTGGTTGTAGATTATGTTCTAGATTTTCTTAACCAACATTAAGAGTAGATTTAAAGAGCTGCGAAAACAAATTTTTGGTAGGTTATTAACTTTTTTCCCATGGGATGTTTTACGCCATTGGTTAAGAACTGACCTCAAATTAGCTTTTAAACTCAAGAAATACTCAACATCTAGAGGTTATAAAAGGTGTGTGGAACTGGGTACCAAACATATAAATGTTATATTATGCTTTTCACATATATTTAAGGCTTTCAAAGATATATGAGCACTTAAATTATCACAAATCAGAATTTTTTTACCTTCCTTATTTATAATATTCGGAACAAAGTGATTTAACAGCCACTCTTCAAATATTTGAATTTCAATCCAGTCACTGCAAGATCCCATTCTTGATCCTTCTGGTGCATTAAAAAGCCAGTCAGAGCAACTGTGTTTTCTTTTAAAAATGAAAAATGGTGGAATTAGCTTTTCTGAGGCATTTCCACAAAAAACAACAGTGTAACAAGATTGTAGTGTTTCTTATAAGTTCTGGATGGGGAAAGGATCGACGAAAAATAAGTTTTTTTTTCCAGGCCATATTATAAATGTTATCTGGCGATACTCCTTTTAATTCCTTCTCTAGATTTTGAAAAAATAATTCTATTTGACAATAATTAACCTGTGCACGTTTCCTTGAAATACAATGAGATACTTTTTCTTTTAATGATGGATGTCTGCCAAGATAAAGTCTACACCACTTAAATAAAGTAAATGATTTTCAAAACAATGTTCCTCATCAATGCTAAGAGCAATAGGGCGACCTACTGATTTACAGTGTTTACTTTTTAGCTTATAAAATAATGTTGTTTTAGGTACTTTAAAAATTTTAGAAGCTTCACCAATCGACATCTTTTCTAATTTAATTTTGGCTAATGCCTCTTGAAGTGTAGCATTTGAGTAATTAGATATTGTGCCATATTTTCTAGTACCAGAATGAGTTGTCAAACTTTTTCTTGGCATTTTAAGAATGCTAAAAATATAGAGATAGTTGCTGTTATTAATGAAAATTATTTAATTAATCTCATATTTGCTATTTATAAATAAAGTTTTTAAAACTATCAAAAAAGCCATAAATATCAAAACTTAAAATATCAAAATACATTAGCAATAGATATTTTAATTAATGATTTATATATATATATATATATATATATATATATATATATATATATATATATATATATATATATATATTATATATATATATATATATATATATATATATATATATATTATTGCATAATAAAAATACTATAATAAAAAGATGTCTATTATGTTTATTATGCATTATTGCAAAAAAATCTGTTACTCAGACAGCACTTTTAGGAAACATTGATTATTTAAAGTTACTTATATTTTAGCTAAGTAAAAATAAATATCCTTTTAGTAGTAATAAACATGTAATTTCCTATTATTTTGAGTTTTTATTAAAATTCGAAAAATAATTCCTTAAAATACTAAAAATTCTATTCTGATATTTGCAATATAGTAACAAATATTCTAAATTGACAACACACGATATTATCACCACCTTCGACTGTGTAACTGGAAATCGAAGATAAAAATATTTTTGAGAAACAAAATTCAATTATCTATGGTCAAACTTTTGTAAAAAAGGATAATTTATCATATTATCCTTTGTTAAAGCAACAGGCAAAAAAAATACCAAAGAAAATTTTTTTTTAAACATTAACACGTTTAATTCAAAGTTACACGCAAATTTAAAGTTACCCAGAATGACTGTATCTAAAGAACCTTTTTTTATTTTCAAAGATTACTTCGAGCCAAACTATAAGCGATACCACTAGCAACGCGTCTTTGCGCATGTGCAATTCATAAAAATGTTTACTTTATATTTATGTAATTTATATAAATAATAATTATTATTCATAAATATTATTAAATGTAAATAAAAATATTCATAAATAAACTTTGCAGAAATTTATGCTTATCCTAAAGAGTCAATATATGAGTTTTATAAATAAAAGTCTATATAGGAATACAATAAGCGAATATATAAGCTTTACACGTTATAAAATATAATGATGTTTTTTTTGTCTTATATTCTATACATTTTATTTTTATTACTTAACTTTGTAATAAATTTATTTTTAATGCTACTCATACAATTATTAATTATCATTACTATAATTAACACATATGTGTGTGCGTGTGTGGGTATGTTAGTGTGTGTGTGTGTGTGTGTGTGTGTGTGTGTGTGAGTGTGTGTGTGTGTGTGTGTGTGTGTGTGTGTGTGTGTGTGTGTGTGTGTGTGTGTGTGTGTGACAATAATATTAAGATAAAAATAAAATTTTTATAAACAATAATAGTTTATTATCTTAGATTAACTATTTAAATCATAGAGGGAGTTAATGTTTGATTTGTTTAACCATGGAAGAGCTACGAGCAAAGCTTGTGGCAAAATCAGAAGTAATTCAACCTAAAACTTTGAGTTGTACTCATCCTTTATTTAACCAGAATAACAAGGTAAACATTATACTTACATTATTTTGTGTCTTTCAAAGAAAATTTTTAATGTATTTTTTTTTTTCTATAAACAGGTCAAATATATACAACAAAATAGTTCTACTTTATATTTTTTCCCCTGTTTATATAATAAAATAATAAACTGAAGCTAACTGAAATATATTATTATTATTATTATTATTATTATTATTATTATTATTATTATCATTATTAATATATATTTCACCATAAAGTAAAATTTACAAAATTATTTATCATAAAATGTAAGTATACAGCTGGGCAAGAAGAAGACAAATTCAGTTATTGCCAATATATATATATATATATATATATATATATATATATATATATATATATATATATATATATATATGTATATATATATATATATGTATATATATATATATATATATATATATATATATATATATATATATATATATATATATATATATATATGTATATATATATATATATATATATATATATATATATATATATATATATATATATATATGTATATATATATATATATATATACATATATATATATATATATATATATATATATATATATATATATGTAATAATAATATTACATGGGGTAGTGGTGTAGTGGAGAGTGCTTGCTTCATAAACGAGTGGTTCCGAGTTCGATCCCCACCACGTCCCTGGTAGTAGTTCATCAAGGTTCGTGTTACGGAGTTATAGAGTTGAGAGAGGGTTATAACCACAAATAAGTAGCCTCCTCGTCTGTAGTGGCCTTCTCGGTCTTGAGGAGGTGAATTAAAATAAATAAATATATATATATATATATATATATATATATATATATATATATATATATATATATATATATATATATATATATAAATTTATTCATAATTATACATAGTTTATACAACTAACATAATTTTAAATAATTATATATAATTATTATATAGTCAAATATGGAGTCATTTATTTGAGTAAACATTATATGATATATTTTTCAAATACCTGTTAATAATTTATGATTATTTGTTTGAACAGGTGATAATTTGTTTTGAACAGAGGCAGAATCTATCAATATACTTTTCGATCGGGAATATTTTGATGTTGAACTGTTACATTTACAAAAAATAATTTTGAGCTCAATACTAAAATAATCCAATGGCATAACTTTAAACAATTTAACAATTAATAAAAAGACATATTATTAAGTACCAAATATATTATAACACTGGCATATGTATTGGTAATGTACCAAAAATAATAGATTTTATATTCAGATACTTTTATTGTTATTTAATTTCTGTCCATTATTAGCAAATATACAAGTGTTATAACAGTTTTTTGAAAACCAGTTATTAAATACTGTTTGTAACTTGTAACACTTGTTTTTACTTCATAAACACTTAAAGAACAGGAGAAAAACTAAATAATATTGAGTTTTTCTCTATAATAAATATCCAGCATCGCTGGCAAAAATATATGGTTCATTAAATATAGCCATTAATTAGATTATTGTATCAATACTTCTCTATTTCAAAGTCTAGTTTTGCAGCTGGTAAAACATTAGATTCTCAATTGCTCAACTCAATATCACTTTCATAACTGTAAAAGAAGTATAATAATAGTAGGTGGGGTTGATATATAAATAATTTCATATTGGTTAATGATAAATAAATAACAATTGTGTTATAATTATTGTGTTATAAAGTGATAACAAATAGAATGTTACTTACAGATTCAGCTAATTTTCTCTTATTGAATGAGTCTCTGTGTGAATAAAAGATGGAGTAGGTTTGTCTACTTGAGTTATACAAAAAGCATCTGATATTTTTTTTTTGTGTCAAGTTTTCTTTTTACTTTATAAAATAAACAAAATATTTGGATATACAACATTGTCATTATTATACTTTATACATAAAGCATAATAATAGATACAGTATACAGTATCAAATACAGTAACAATAGATAAAAAAATTAGTGAACATTTCTTTATAAAATTATAAAACAACCTTAGTATAATCTGATGGTAATCTTCTTCTTCATTCTCAGAGGAACTAATCATTTTACATATAAACAGTTTTATAAATACAAACAAAGATATTTCATAATTTGTTAAATTATTAATTTCTGAAATTAAAGTTACCTTCTAACATGTTTCAATGCATTTTTTTTCTGCTGTATCCAGGTGTTCTCGGCTCTTTTGGCCTTTGACCGTGCTTCAGTAAGACTGTCTATAAATAAATTAAAAAATAATACATTAAAAATTGTTATTGTATTAAACTTGCAACACAGAGGCATTTCTTTTTGCACTAAAATATTAATAAAATGTGATTATAATAGCATGACATTTATTTTACCTGCAATTCCTAGTATTCTAGCAGTATATAAAGGCCAATGCACATCTGAATCCATTAGATTATTTTTAGCTTTTGCATTACTAATTGGATTTAAATTTTTCCAAATTGGCCAAAAGACTTTAACAGATACTTTATTTTTAATACTGGATAAAAGTGAATTGATTTCAACTCCACTTATCCAAGTAAGAGGTACATAATCTGTTCTATTAGTTTCATAGAATAAAACTATTGCATACATAATTTTACTGTATCACAAAAATAGAATTAAAAAAATATACAATAAAAATACAAAAAGGATATATAAAAATAAAATTAAAAAAATATACACCACCATGACTAGCCTCTTATAATGTTTGATCTAATTTGAGTACTTTTTTCATTAGACACAATAAGTATTTATTCAACATACATACAGGCCTTGCCAGGAAGCGCGAGCTATTGCTCTGGCATCAATCTTTGAGCTTTGATTTGACAAATGATACATTTTATGAGTATATTATGTTTCTATAAAACTATTTAGAATAAATCATAATCACAAAGTATCAATTAACATAATAATCATAAAACTGATTAATTGCAAAACTAATAATGAAAAAGTAATAACTTTATAAATAACTGTTCTAAGTCAAATTATATTTTTACTTATCAAAATATAACAAAATAGTAAAGTAATAGTGTTTTTTGCAACAAGTTATTTGATATACTAAAAAAAATGTAATTGTGGAATAACTTCAAAGCCATTTTTAAATGGTAGTTTAAAATACTTAATATTTAGTTAGTTATCAGTTAATATGTTTTTGACTAAAATAATTTTATCATTAACACCAAAGCAATTGTCAGCAGTAGCAAGAGAAAGCAGAAAATGTGGTCCAAAATATTGCTTGTATTGAATGTAATGATGTAATGGCAATGGTAGTGGACCTAGCAAGTGTTTTATCAGTTATCAGTCATCTTTGTCAGAAACTATTATTAGAAAAAAATTAACACATAGTTTTTTAAACGTAGTTTTTTAACTATTAACTAAAGATTAACAATAAGTAATAAATGGTACTAACATTATTATATTTTACTACTGTGATATTACCATTTTTAAAGTGTTTAACTAACATTTGGTTAACTAACTTTTGTCAAAAGTTTTGAAACTAAGTTTTATCAACTAACTTTTTAAAAAGTTTTATAAAACTAGCATTTAGTTTAACTTTAGTTTCAACAGTGTAATTTGTAATCTGTATAAATCCTATACAAACATCCAATTATAAATAAGAAAATTATTATAAGCACGAATAATTTCATGAAAAAAAAAAAAAATTGATTAAAATCAATCATTTTAATTTAAATACAATAAAAAAAATCGCATGTTACGAAACGATTAGCCATTTTTATTTTGAAAATAACCTTTTTCAATTCTGCTATGATATCAAAAAATATAACATTGTAATTATTGCTTTCCTATATGGGTCCCAGACCGAGTCCATAAAAAAAGCCCTCATGTATCTTATACCAGATACCCGGTCGACTCCCATACGGTACCCATAAGTGTTGGTTGACTGGGAATTCAATAACCATGGTACATATATTTAAGCGAAAAAAATATACCTCTTGCTTAAGTATGTGTACAAACTTTTTTTTTTAAGAATAGTTAATAAATAGAACTCTCTTCCTAATAATGTCTTAAAAGAACCTTTACTCTAATTTAAAATGCTTCTCAACAACCATCTCAATAACAAATGGTTTCTCTATGATTGATATGGATTTTTTTTTATATTAGTTTATATTAAAACTGAAATTGTTAAGTTCTTATATAACCAGGTTGATAGGCATTATATGCATAAACAATTTTTTAACAATTATAAAAACTTATAGATAATTATGTATAAATTGTAACAAGTATAGCAGCATATTTTTATTGATGTAGATTATACTTGAGTTTTAAAGACTTGACTATAAAATAATGTTATTCTAATGTTATAATAATATAATGATTTTTTGATTATATTTTTAGGGTCGTCAGTTTACTAAATGTTTTAACCCATTGGTAATTTTTGAATTTTTTTTTATTCATGTTTCATCTCAAATAATTGATTATATATATATATATATATATATATATATATATATATATATATATATATATATATATATATATATATATATATATATTATATATATATATATATATATATATATATATATATATATATATATATATATATACAGGTATACACATACATATGTATATTTATATATATATATACTTTTTTATTTTTCATATCTTTTTTGTTAGATCTTTTTTTACTTAGCCTCATTTAAAGCTATATCAAGAAAAACAGAGAGAAAATACAAATAATGTTAAGCATAATACAGATTTTGAGTTAAAATGGAAGCAATTAAAGCGAAAAACTTCACTTGAACCTTTAAAAAAACATTCAATAACTTCTCTTCCAGAGCTTCCAGATGATTTTAAGAAGCGCCAAAAAGAGATTGATCATTCTGCTGGAATAAAAGTTGAATATTTTTCTGGCTCATTGGTAAAGAAAGATTTAGTAAATAAATATCATTACAACAATCAATTTTATTTGGATCCTTTCAATTTGGAAAAAATTCTGAATCTGGTAAAAACCCATCCAAACAATGGTTTTGTCTACATGATAGTTGATTCAACACAAGCACCTACTAGCTCTAATCCATATAGTCTTAAGTATGCTTTACTTACTTTTTCTTATTTTTTTTTTTTGATAGTCATTCCATAATATTTATATGAATGCATAAACTCTGAAAAATTTTATTTGTTATGATGACAAAAACTGTGAACAGTTGTTAGAAAGCAAAAACTGATCTAAAAATTTGTTACATTGAAAATTAATTATGAAATATCAGTATTTTCAATGTTTTTGAGTGGAAGGAAAAAAGAAACACACTATATAATATTTACAAAATCAAATAATATATACAAAATCAAATAATATATACAAAATCAAATAATATATACAAAATCAAATAATATATACAAAATCAAATAATATATACAAAATCAAATAATATATACAAAATCAAATAATATATACAAAATCAAATAATATATACAAAATTAAATAATATATACAAAATAAAATAATATATGCAAAATAAAATAATATATACAAAATAAAATAATATATACAAAATAAAATAATATATGCAAAATAAAATAATATATACAAAAGGTCTATGCTAACTGAAAATGTATACTGTTATTAACTTTTAAAATTGCTTTACAAATTTAAAATGTTATACTAGGAGTTGAATAGTACAACTATGTAACCACAGTTTCTGTTCAAATGTTCTTGTAAAGCTTGTTTTTTTTGTAAATTAAGCATATATTTACTTATGTTGAACACAACTTTTTCGATAGTCATTCCATAATATTTATATGAATGCATAAACTCTGAAAAATTTTATTTGTTATGATGACAAAAACTGTGAACAGTTGTTAGAAAGCAAAAACTGATCTAAAAATTTTTTACATTGAAAATTAATTATGAAATATCAGTATTTTCAATGTTTTTGAGTGGAAGGAAAAAAGAAACACTATATAATATTTACAAAATCAAATAATATATACAAAATCAAATAATATATACAAAATCAAATAATATATACAAAATCAATTAATATATACAAAATCAAATAATATATACAAAATCAAATAATATATACAAAATCAAATGATATATACAAAATAAAATAATATATGCAAAATAAAATAATATATACAAAATAAAATAATATATACAAAAGGTCTATGCTAACTGAAAATGTATACTGTTATTAACTTTTAAAATTGCTTTACAAATTTAAAATGTTATACTAGGAGTTGAATAGTACAACTATGTAACCACAGTTTCTGTTCAAATGTTCTTGTAAAGCTTGTTTTTTTTTTTAAATTAAGCATATATTTACTTATGTTGAACACAACTTAAATCTTTTATTGATTTTTTTTTCTCTTATAAAAAAAGAATAGCTAAAATATCATTAACCTATCTGTTTTTTAAAATTTTAGTTTTCAAGATATTGTTTAGAGTTTATATAAATAGAGAGTACAATAAAATTATTATTTAGAGTTTATTGCATAAAAATTAATATTTTAAAGTTGGCTAACTAAATTGTCAAAAAATGTGCCAAAATATTCAATTTAAGCAGTTATTATTTGAAAAAAATACTAACCATTATTAAAAAATGTCATTATCAATTTTACTTTATATAATTAAATGTTTATTGTATATTATTAGAATTTGTATATTTAACAGAACATATTTGAATTATTTCATGAATTTTATTTAGAGTTGTAACATATGCTTTATTTAGAGTTGTAACATATGCAGAGATTAACCCTTCTAACTATTTCACTATTAGTAAACATGGTGTTATGCATATAACTGTAGAAGACTCTGAATTTACGCCACTTAGTCAATGGGAAAAAGATTTGTATCACCATTCTCAACTAATGAAAATAAAGCTTTTTGCTAATTTTCGTCTTTGGAAATCATTTTTTCTCTGGCATAAAATATTGCAAATCAGGTTGGTAATGGATTATTTATTATTATTCTATAGCTTTAGTTTAATTTTTTAAAAAATGTGTTTACAAAAAAAATAATTTAGATAAAATGACTTTTTTGTGAACACTATATTTGGAGATAAGAAGTAGTTAAATTTGATTGAGGAAGGTTTGTTGAGTAGTAACATAAGTATGTATGATTTTATAATGAAACTAACTGGCATTAAAACTAATGTACACAAAAGAAAAGCACAGAGAAACGGTATTAAGACAAAAATACAGAATTTCCTCTGTGTCTTATTCTTAATATTTTTTTCTCTGTGAAGTTTTTCACTTTTAATTGCTTCCATTTTAACTCAAAATCTGTATTATGTTTAAAATTATTTGTATTTTCTCTCTGTTTTTCTTGATATAGTTTTAAATGAGTCTTTATCTTCTGCATAGAGAAGAGGCTGTCATTTGCATAGAGAAGAGGCCTATATTTTTAAGAAAGAATTTCAAAAACCCTGATTTATGCAGATTTAATTGATTTACTTATAAATGACAAAAACACCACAAATGCCATGAATGACTTGTGTTTAGGAAATAATTCTGAAAAAAAGGAGAGAAAGTTTTGGTCTGGATGAATAAGGAGAAAGTTTTATGAAAAATACAATATTTTTCATTTGAAAAATTTTCAAATTATACACTTTTTTTTTAAATTGTATAATTAAATGAATTTTAAAATGTTTTAATAAATTATCTAATTTTAATGAATAAAAAATACCATTTATTTAGAAAGCAAATTTTGGCAAAGAAACGTTTAAATTCTCGACTATTTACAGCAAATTTGGTATGCTATGTTTCACTAAAACCTATTGTAATAGTCCTTGTTTTTTTTATTTTTATTAGTTAAAAACAATTATATTTACAACTTAGTCCCTTGGATCAGCGCTATTAAGCTTGCGTGATATGTGCTTACGAATTAGTGATATGGGATTGTTTTGGTTTGTAAAAGATAATACTTACACATTGGAAGAATTCAAGATTATACAAAATCTTCAACATAAGAAGGTAACTTGCTTATATGTTTTAATGATAGACTGAAACAATTGTGTTTGAAGAGTAATTTTAATTAGTTTCATTTTATTTTTTAACTTCACTTGGTTTTAAATACTAGATAGAACAGAGTTTATGTGAGTTTCGAAGTTTAGCAAAAGATATTATTGGTGCTGCATGTCGAACAAATCTTTTGGAGGCTGGATTTGTTCCTGATGATCTTCATGGTTATTTTTACATTTATAAATATTATTATTAACAATTTTATGCACACATACACACACAAAAGAAAGAAAGAGAGAAAAAAACCCTTAACTATTTTACTTTTTAAACTATTTTAAGTGTGTTAAGATATATAATAATAAGTCTAGTTTGAGAGAAATAATAATTGCATTTACTAAGATATTGTAAGGTTTTTATTATGTAAAGTTATATAAAGAATATAAACTATAAAAAAAAATACATAATAAAGTATATAATATATACTTTATTATGTATTCACGTATTTGAGATAATTGATAAAAACTGGCTGATCTTAGCCATTTTTAATGCTAACCAAAAAAGTTAGTCTAACAAAATTAAGAAAAAAAAAGCGTTAGAACTGATAGAAAAAAAAAAGATGTTCTTGAAGCAAAATATATTAGATTAAAGTTGCTGGACAAGTGGTGTTTTTAAAATAAATTCCATAAAAACTCATTTTTAGTAGCAAGATGTGAAGGTTTTTTACTCTGAACCATGGCGATCTATACTACAGGCCTTGCCAACGCGCAATCGGCGTATCTGATTGGGGGCCTATTTTATAAACAGCAAAAACTAAAAAAACTCAATAAACTTTTTTCTCTCAAAAAGATTTACTTTATAATTTAAAACTGAAATTAAAACAAAACACACACACACACACACACACACACACATATATATATATATATATATATATATATATATATATATATATATATATATATATATATATATATATATATATATATATATATATATATATATATATATATGTTTTGTTATATATATATATATATATATATATATATATATATATATATATATATATATATATATATATGTTTTGTTATATATATATATATATATATATATATATATATATATATATATGTTTTGTTATATATATATATATATATATATATATATATATATATATATATATATATATATATATATATATATATATATATATATATATATATATATATATATATATGCTGCATCTCAAAATTGTAAAACTCTGAAATCATCATTAGAATACTGCTTAATGATATTCTGCATACTCTATCCTTAATTGCATTGAAAACTATAAAAGAAAATATTACATTGACTGGTATTATCTGTGGGAATATTAAGCCCACCACGGTCAATTGAGTCTATGTATTGTCCATACTTTTGGTGGTAAAAAGTGGTTTTATCTAGCAATTCATTTTCTGATAGTTCTTTATCTTTAGGAGTTAAATACCCTGATATATATATAAGAGCCATATTTGTATCAAGAGAAATAAAAGATTTGAGATCTGGTAGATCTCAAATCTTTTATTTCTCTTGATACAAATCTTTTATTTCTCTTGATCTCAGCAGAGAGCTTCATTTAATAGAAAACCACAATTTGGACAAGAATGGGTTGTGTCAAAACTTGTCTCAGGGTTATCAAGTGGTAGCAAAAAGCTCTTGAAATATTCAATTTTTCAATCACTTGTTGTACTGTTATAAAATATGTACCTCCTGAACCTTGGCGCAATTTGCTAAATTCTTTTTCCAATGGATCAGTAGAAAACTCACTAAGAATGACATATTGATGTGAGCTATCCAATAATGATTTACATAATTCAGCAATACCATTGCGTGTATGATAAATTGACTGTGCAGTGTCACAAGTAAGTTGTTTCTCCTTTTTATCTTGCTTTCCAGCCATTTTTAAAGCCATATTTCCAAAATTTAAAATATTTTCTAATCTATTATCATTAGAATCTCTAATTACTGCTTGAAGTTCATCATTGAATCTAATATCAGCACCTGTTCCCTTAACATTGAAAACTTTCCACCATGACCATGACTCAGCACCATGACACAACAATATTAATAAAATCTGCTGTATCTTTTCTTTCTTTTATATGCTGCAGTCCTGGATGATTAAATAAAGCATGGTAAGTTTTGTCACAAAATACTCTTAAACAGGTAGAAACTGACTGTCTCTTAATTGGCTTTGGAAATATTGAAACTTCATTTAAGTTGGATAGTTTAACTAAATTTTTTGATTCAAGTTCATAAAGTTTTTTAAGATGATCCCATTGAGCTAATTTAAGCCAGTTATTTCTAATGTTTTTAAGCAAATGAACTTAATCAAAGATTAAGAAAATACCATCATTAGTCAACCAGGGTTTATCTGGAGTTGATCTTTCGAAGATTTTAAAAAAGGCCTGATTAATTCTATTTCCATCGCATATAATAGCTTTATCTTGACCTGAAAACTCCTTTATTAATTGAATAGTAATAATAATTTTTTCAAAAGAAATTGAGTTTAATTTACTAATAGGTATCATTTTGGAAATGAACGATGGTCCACCAAATAAGCGATTAACCATTAAACCCAATATAGTTTTTGCAAGAGAAGTTGAATCGTCGATTGCTTTTTCGAATAATGTACCACCATGGTATAACAACATTTTTTTAACATAAACCTCATCATGCAATAAAAACAAAGTTTCTGTTTTTCTTTAACAGAATGAAAAATATTAGTCAAAAAATGTTTCTCTTTTAATTTAGAAACTTTTGAAGTTATTCTTGTCAAAGTTCTTACAAAAGGCAATTGGTAATCTGCTCGCAATTGATTATACAAACTTCTAGATGTAGCAAAATACTGAAAAGATCTAATAATAACTTAGAATAAATCTTACTACCAACACACTGTGTACCCATAGAGGTTAAATGTTCCTGAATTACAATTTTTTTTCTGCATAGAATTAAATTCTTCAAATAACGCAAAACTTCTTCTAGTATAGACCATGTGTTGATTTTTGAAATTCTGTTTTTAAATATTGTAGAAACTTTATTTTTGGCACCATAATGATAAGTTTCAAAATGTAAATCCTCACTAATCTTGATTAAAATATAAGGAACTCCATTTGAAAAAACTTGTGATTGTAAATGAATAGTGTTATTAATTATAGCATACTAAATTTTTTTCATTTCAGCAAAAGTTGCTCTATCTTTTTCTAAAAAAGTGGATAGTTCGTCTTAAGCAAAATTTTGAAAACACAAAGATACATGAGTTGTTGCACGTAATGGAGGAAGATGGGTAGGAATTTGACAAGACGGTATGCCAGGCCAAACAGATGGTAGAAATTTAGGATGGTATTTTCCTCTAACTATTTGTTTTTCAAAATTTATTGGCCAATGCAACTCACAAACTACAGTGTCATTAGTTACTTTTAAGTTTGCATTTGGAATTTTTTTAATCCACATTTGTTTTCTTCTTTAAATTTAGGAAATCGATATACTGAAAGCTTTAAATTACCAGATTTCTTTTTTGCAGATTTGTAGTGCAGCTATAAATGCAACATTTTTTACCCCTATTTTAATATCACTAAAACGGAGAATAAATTTAAGCGAAATTTTAAATAGGCCCTCAGTCAGATACGTGGTTTGCACGTTGGCAAGGCCTGCAGCATAGATTGCTGTGCTCTGAACTGAATTTACATATTGAAGGTATCGAATTACTAAACACCTTGTTATGATTGCTTTTTTTGTTGGGAAAGTGTACAAATTTGGATGCTATGAATGACTAGTTCAAGCTATTAAGGACTCTGTTTTTGGTAGATTTCACAGAGAGGCACATTTTTTTGTTGTTTGTTGGCCACTAGTTTTTAAAATCTTTAATATCTGCACCCTCTACATTTTTAATTTCGAACTTGTTATTAATGCTTGCGCTCTTTGTGAGATCAATACAGTCATTGACAGTGTAAAATTGGGCTACTCTTCAAGTCTTCTTTTTAACATTTGCAAAATTATGGTCAAACAATAGAAAAGAGTTTCTGCGGATGGGAAAATAGTGGGAAATTTTTTCAAATTTTCCAGTGGATGGCAATGCCAGAAGAAAACAAACCATAGTGTGGTTTTTATTTTATCCAGGATAACCATCCAAAAATAGTTGGATATGCTTTAAAGTGTTTAGGATGTTATTTTCTATGTAATTCATGATAAAACTACAGACTTTGTTGTAACTTTTCCTAGCTTCTTATACATGACATACATAAAATTTGCTGTTAGAATTTTTGAGATGAATTTCAGGGTATTTCAGGTAATAAAACAGTAGATATTGTATATATCCAACATCTACTGTTTTATTATAAAAATACAACTTGTCAGAAACAAGTGGTGTTCTTTTAATAAACAAAAATTTCAAACTCAAACAGCTCCATAGAGATAACAGTACTATTGGTCTTTTTGTGCTTAAGTTGTAAGACTATCAATAGTCTGAGCAATACTACATTCATAACTCAATTACCAACATATGGTGAACAAATGAGGTTTTTCTAATAAGTGATTCATATATATACCGAAACCAAAATCCTTAGTTGATGTTTGTTTGCTTCACTGATCTTATTACTGAATAGTGAGTTGATGTATGTACACTCTGCTGTGTCTATCCCTAGATAGTCAATGAATGTATGCACATTCCGCTATGCCTTAATTTTTAAATATTTTAGTCAATAAATCAAACACAAAAAAACCCATAAAATAACTAGTGTAGAATAATAACAAAAACATTCTGAATTAAAAAAAAAAGATTCTATTCGATATTGTTGCATTTTGTGTTTTTAAAAAACAATTAAATTAGTTTCCTCAATTATTTTAATGGTTTTTTTCTTTAAGGGGTCTTAATTTTACTGTATTTATCTTTTTCCTCTCCTCTAATAAATCTTTAACTTTAAGACACAATCATTGATGAACAAGGCCACTGCTAAGAGAAATAAGTTTAATGTGGTACTACCAGGGACATGGGGGAAATTGAACTCTGATTTTCTAATTTAAAATAATAATAATAATAATAATAATAACAATAATAATAATAATAATGATAACAATAATAATAATAATAATAATAATAGTATATATATATATATATATATATATATATATATATATATATATATATATATATATATATATATATATATATATATGTATATATATATATATATATATATATATATATATATATATATATATATATATATATATATATATATATATATAATATGTATGTATGTATGTATGTATGTATGTATGTATGTATGTATGTATGTATGTATGTTATATGTATGTATGTATAATACATACATACTATGTATGTATTAAATGTGGTAGTGGTGTATCCCCACCATGTCTCTGGTAGTACCGCTCTCAACTTGTTTCTCCATGCAGCATCCTTGTTTGTCAAGGTTTGTGTTTTGAAGTTATTGAGTTGAGAGAGGGTTATAACTAAAACTAAAGTAGCCTTCTTGACTGTAGTGGTCTTCATGGCCTTGGGGAGGTGAATAGAAATTAAAAAATAAAAATGTATGTATGTATGTATATAACAGGGAACAATCTCACATTTTAGAAAGTTTGTAGAATTTTTTTTTTTAAATGTACTTTTTTGCACAGCTTTCATCCTTTTTCTAACTGTTTTATTCAGTTTGTTGTGCATTGAGGCTTCCCTGAATTAAACAAATGAAGCAAAAAACTTTCAAATAAATTTAAAATGTACCATTAAGTTGTGTATACTTTCAAAAGTAAATAAAAGATAATAAATAATTCAAGCAGAAATAAATTGCACCTGAGTTACACTAATTTAATAATAGCTTCTTGAAAATAACAATCGAAATTGACAACCTGTTTTAACAATTACAAAAGTTATTTACAAATTTTGTTTACATACATTTGTTATTTGTTTACAATAAAATTTAATTACTATAAATATATAACTATAGTTTAATAGAAAAAAATAAAAATTTTAACTAAAAAAAAGTAAAAAGACCTTGTGGCAAAAACAGGGTAAACTCATTAGCTGATGTGTGGTTCCTTTTATTTTGTCTACATTTTATTATAAAAATATTAACATCTAGCGCTCTAAGTTTAACACTTTAAATCAAGCAGCCATGGCACAGTGGTTAGAGCTTTGGCTCAGAACCAAAAGTTTTGAGGTGTTATGCCAGCTCTGGCCAGTTAAGTGACATTGGCACGGAAGGAAGTATGAACTTTCCAGTTAAATGCTCTCCCACAGTGCTCTGTGATAAAATCATTAGGTCTTCTTAAAAAACCTTAGTTTCAAAAACTAAATAAAAATCAGATGATAAATAAAAGAATTTGATTTATGTAACAAAAAATATATATTGAATAAAAAATTATTTATGGATTGTTTTGAGAATGAGATAAACCTTTTGGCAAAAAAAATTTTTTATGAGAGATAAATGGTAAAAGGCCCATGTGGAATTCCTGCATAGCCTCTGGATCCAGCGCACTCAGGTATATATATATATATATATATATATATATATATATATATATATATATATATATATATATATATATATATATATATATATATATATATATATATGTATATATATATATATATATATATATATATATGTATATATATATATATATATATATATATATATATATAATACTATATTTTGACATCTGAAAATTACCGTTTATATATTTATATATATGTATGTATATATATATATATATATATATATATATATATATATATATATATATATATATATGTATATATATATATATATATATATATATATATATATATATATATATATATATATATTTACATATATAAATATATATATATATATATATATATATATATATATATATATATATAT